TGTTGCAGCTCATCTTATAGACACAATGTGCATGTAACACATCGTTTTGTGGACACATTTTGCCTCCAACACATCATCTTGTAGACGCAGTGTGCCTGTAACAGCTCATCTTGTGGACACTTTGTGCCTGTAACAGATCATCTTGTAGACGCATTGTGCCTGTATGAGGTCATCTTGTGGACGCATTGTGCTCGGATCAGGACATTTTGTAGACGCATTGTGCCTGTATCAGGTCATCTTATAGACGCATTCTGCCTGTAACAGAACATCTTGTAGACGCATTGTGCCTGTAAACATATCATCTTGTAGACACACAGTGCCTGTATCAGATCATCTTGTAGACGCATTGTGCCTGTATCAGATCATCTTGTAGACGCATTGTGCCTGTATCAGGTCATCTTGTAGGCACATTGTGCCTGTATCAGATCATCTTGTAGACACATTGTGCCTGTAAACATATCATCCTGTAGACACAAAGTGCCTGTATCAGGTTATCTTGTAGACACATTATGCTTGCATCAAGTCATCTTGTACACACACTGTGCTAGTATCAGGTCATCTTGTACATACACTGTGCTAGTATCAGGTCATCTTGTAGACGCATTGTGCCTGTAACAGGCCCTCTTTTAGACGCATTCTGCCTGTATTAGGTCATTTTGCAGACACATAGTGTTTGTAACAGGTCATCTTGTAGACACATTGTGCCTGTATCAAGTCATCTTGTAGAAGCTTTGTGCCCGTAAACATATCATCTTGTAGACACATTGTGCCTGTATCAAGTCATCTTGTAGAAGCTTTGTGCCCGTAAACATATCATCTTGTAGACACATTGTGCCTGTATCAAGTCATCTTGTAGAAGCTTTGTGCCTGTAAACATATCATCTTGTAGACACATTGTGCCTGTATCAAGTCAGCTTGTAGACACATTCTGCCTGTATCAGGTCATCTTGTAAACACACTGTGCCTTTAACAGATCATCTTGCAGACACATTGTGCCTGTATCAGGACATCTTTTAGACACATTGTGCCTGTATCAGGTCATCTTGTAGAGACATTGGTCCTGTATCAAGTCACCTAGTTGACAAATTATGCTTGTATCAGGTCATCTTGTAGACCCATTGTTCCTATATGTGGTAATCTTATAGACACATCGTGCCTGTGACGGGTCATCTTGTAGACGCAATGTGCCTGTATCAGGTCATCTTGTAAACACGCTGTGCTTATATCAGATCATCTTGTAAACAAATTGTGCTTGTATCAGGTCATCTTGTGGACAAACTGTGCCTGTATCACGTAATATTGTAGACGCATTGTGCCTGTAACAGATCATCTTGTAGACCCATTTTGACTGTAAGAGACTGTAGACGAGTTGTATCTGTATAAGGTCATAATTTAGACACGTTGAGCCTGTATCAGGTCACCTTGTAGACGCACTGTGCCTGTAAGAGGTCAAGTTGTAGACACATTGAGCCTGTATCAGGTCATCTTGTAGACAAATTGTGCCTGTATCATGTCATCTTGTAGACACATTGTGCCTGTAAACATATCGTCTTGTAGACACATTGTGCCTGTATCAAGTAAGCTTGTAGACAAATTGTGCTTGTAACAGGTCATTTTGTTGACGCATTGTGCCTGTAAACAGATTATCTTGTAGACGCATTGTGCCTGTATCAGGTCATCTTGTAGACACATTGTGCTTCTATCAGGTCATCTTGTAGACACATTGTGCCTGTAAACAGATTATCTTGTAGACGCATTGTGCCTGTAACAGATCATACTGGAGATTGGTTGTACCTGTTTTGGGTCATCTTGTAGACACACTGTGCCTGTATCAGATCATCTTGTAGACACATCGTGCCTGTGACGGGTCATCTTGTAGACACATTGTGCCTGTATCAGGCCATCTTGTAGACGCGTTGTACCTGTATTATGTCATCTTGTAGACACATTGTGCCTGTATCAGGTCATCTTGTAGACACAATGTACCTGTATCAGGTCATCTTGTAGAGACATTGGTCCTGTATCAAGTCATTTTGTAGACCCATTGTGCCTATAACAGGTAATCTGATACAGACATCGTGCCTGTAACATATCAGGTTGTAGACAAATTGTGCTTGTATCAGGTCATCTTGTAGACATATTCTGCCTGTATTAGGTAATTATGTAGACGCTTTGTGCCTCCAACAGGTCATCTTGTAGACACGTTGTGCCTGTAAGAGATCATCTTGTAGACGAGTTGTTCCTGTATTAGGTCATCTATTAGACACGTTGTGCCTGTATCAGGTCATCTTGTAGGCACATTGTGCTTCTATCAGGTCATCGTGTAGACACATTGTGCCTGTAAGAGGTCATCTTGTAGAGACATTGTTCCTATATCAGGTCATCTTGTAGACGCACTGTGCCTGTATCAGGTCATCTTGTAGACACATTGTGCTTCTATCAGGTCATCTTGTAGAAACATTGTTCCTGTATCAGGCCATCCTGTAGACACATTGTGCCTATATCACGTCAAGTTGTAGAGACATTGTGCCTGTATCAGGTCAACTTGTAGAGACATTGTTCCTGTATCAGGTCATCTTGTAGACGCACTGTGCCTGTATCAGTTCATCTTAAAGTCGCATTGTGCCTGTAACAGGTCATCCTGTAGACGCTTTTTGCCTGTATCAGGTCATCTTGTAGACGCACTGTGCCTGTATCAGTTCATCTTAAAGTCGCATTGTGCCTGTAACAGGTCATCCTGTAGACGCTTTTTGCCTGTATCAGGTCGTCTTGTAGACGCATTGTGTCTGTATCAAGTCATTTTGTAGACACATTGTGCCTGTTAACATATTATCTTGTAGACACATTATGCTTACATCAAGTCATCTTGTACACACATTGTGCTAGTATCAGATTTTCTTGCAGACTCATTTTGCTTCTTTCAGGTTATCTTGTAGACACATTATGCTTGCATCAAGTCATCTTTTAGACGCATTGTGCCTCTATCAGGTCATCTTGTAAACCCACTGTGCCTGTATCAGATCATCTTGTAGACACATTGTGCCTGTATCAGGTCATCTTGTAGACACATTGTGCCTGTATCAGATCATCTTGTAGAGACATTGGTCCTGTATCTAGTCATCTTGTAGACCCATTGTGCCTATAACAGGTAATCTTTTAGACACTTTGTGCATGTAACAGGTGATCTCGTAGACGCACTGTGCCCGTAACAGATCATCTTGTTGACGCATTGTGCCTGTATCAGGTCATCTTGTAGACACATTGTGCTTCTATCAGGTCATCTTGTAGACACATTGTGCCTGTATCAGGTCATTTTGTAAACGCATTGTGCCTGTAAACAGATCATCTTGTAGACGCATTGTGCCTGTAACAGGCCATCTTATAGACGCATTGTGCGTGTAACAGGTCATCTTGTAGACACATTGTGCCTGTATCAGGACATCTTGTAAACACATTGTGCCTGTAAGAAATCATCTTGTAGACACACAGTGCCTGTAAGAGGTCATCTTGTAGACACATTCAGCCTGTATCAGGTCATCTTGTAGACACATTGTGCCTGTAACACATCATCTTATAGACAGTTTGTTCCTGTAACAGTTCATCTTGTAGACGCCTTGTGCCTGTAACAGGTTATCTTGTAGACACATTGTTCCTATAACAGATCATCTTGTAGACCCATAGTGCTTGCATCAGATCATCTTGTTGACACATTGTGCCTGTATCAGATCATCTTATAGACGCATTTTGCTTGTAACAGGTCATCTTGTAGACGCATTGTGCGTGTAACAGGTCATCTTGTAGACGCATTGTGCCTGTAACAGATCATCTTGTAGACGCATTGTGCCTGTAACAGATCATGATCAGGTCGTCAGTTGAAGTTAAGAAACGTTGACCTGTGACTATAACCTTATAGAACCTAACAGGCAGCTTGGGTTATCCGTGGTAATAATACTCAGATTCTGATTACTGTCACATGGTTGAGGGAGGCGTATTATGGGTGCACTGTCACATGGTTGAGGGAGGCGTATTATGGGTGCACTGTCACATGGTTGAGGGAGGCGTATTATGGGTGCACTGTCACATGGTTGAGGGAGGCGTATTATGGGTGCACTGTCTCATGGTTGAGGAAAGTTTAATGTCTGTGCACTCTCACGGGGTTGAGTGAAATCTATGAGGTCTTTACTCACATTCGTTAGGATGCGTACACTCACAGGGTTCAGGTATAAGTGGGTGTGCACCCACAGTTATCATAGGCTCATACTGTAAAGAGTAAGCTGTGTAGGTGTTGTGGGTCACAGATAGAACCCTTCGTTGGCTTATTGTTGACGACGCCTTCCCCATTATACACTTGCACTACGCAAAGCCTGGGGACTTCTATATACAGATGCATTGCTCAGTAATGGCTCCCGCGTCGACTGATGTATTCATGTACTGGCAGCCCCTTCATTACGCGGGCTGATCAGAGGAAGGCGCACCACCTCGGTGGGAGATCGCCAGGAACAAGCAAATTTCAACGTTAACAGTTTTTCTAAATTGCAAGTTTATAATTCCAGATGCTTAATCGATAGAGAAGTTAAAATGAGTTGCAGCCTCTATTTGATTAAATAAACGTTTCTGAGTAATCCTAGCATTGAAACAGTGGCTTATCAGAATAAGGCTGCATCCTCGTCTCCAGCACATATTGCTCATTTGTGGGTCGATATTCAACAAATCTACACGGGTAAGTACACCATCAGCCTCCCTCCCACCCTCTGCCTCCACAGACGCGGCCGCCGGTATAAACACTTGCTGTGAGAAACCAATGAGTGGCCTTGAATGCTGCTCAGCGGTGCACGAGGCTTTTGGGAAGGGGAGCCTACCTCCAGAGATGAGTCTGAGAGGTTAATACATTGTATAGCTGTGTTGTATTGATTGTTGGGAGTGTGTGTGGTGTGAGAGGGGAAGCACATGTTGCCGTTCTGCATTGTCTGTGTCCGTCAGTCATTCAGTCAGCTGACTATGTTACGAAGAGGTGGAGTAACACCAGCTGAGGCTTAACGTGCTAATACACACTAAGGATTAATAAGCTCTCTCCGTCAGTTGTTCTGGAGGCTGCTTGGTGGAGTTGGAAGCCTCTGTGGTGAATATCAATAGTTCAGGGCTTGACGCAGGTACGGTGAAAGCATGGCAAATTATTCCTATGTTCTCCAAACACTTCGTCATTACAGAGAAGGCAATCATTCGATTAATTACCACATACGAAGCGTTCAGTTGTTTTCTTCAATCTGTTCAGTTCTAGTATTCTTAAACTCCATGTGTTAAATGTTGCCTGTATTCCTGGCGTCAGCATGCCGTGTGTTAAATGTTGCCTTATTCTTGACGTCAGCATGCCGTGTGTTAAATGTTGCCTTATTCTTGACGTCAGCATGCCATGTGTTAAATATTGCCTTATTCTTGACGTCAGGATGCCGTGTGTTAAATGTTGCCTGTATTCTTGGCGTCAGCATGCTGTGTGTTAAATGTTGCCTGTATTCTTGACGTCAGCATGCCATGTGTTGCCTGTATTCCTGGCGTCAGCATGACATGTGTTAAATGTTGCCTGTATTCTTGACGTCAGCATGCCATGTGTTGCCTGTATTCCTGGCGTCAGCATGCCGTGTATTAATTGTTGCCTGTATTCTTGACGTCAGCATGCCGTGTGTTAAATGTTGCCCGTATTCCTGGCGTCAGCATGCTGTGTGCTAAATGTTGCCTGTATTCTTGACGTCAGCATGCTGTGTGTTAAATGTTGCCCGTATTCCTGGCGTCAGCATGCTGTGTGCTAAATGTTGCCTGTATTCTTGACGTCAGCATGCTGTGTGTTAAATGTTGCCCGTATTCTTGACGTCAGCATGCTGTGTGTTAAATGTTGCCTGTATTTTGGGCGTCCATCCTTTTGTCTGTTTTCTAATAGTTCGGATTGTTGTGTATAATACTTAATAATTCTTATATTCCCCATAACCTGATGTCACAGTTCATATTCAGCAGGCCAGTCACTTATAACGTCCCAAGGTGCTGGGCAAAGCTTAGTATACGCTCAACCATGTATATGCCTGTCATAATCATTACAGTCGAGGTAAAGATAACAAGATGTCAGTTGCTTAAACAATTCAGACCTGATTCAGGCGATTCAAGCTCTTCAATAACAAAAACTACCACTGTGTGTGAACATCCACTGATATGACGCAAGCAAGTATGGCCTTAGGTTACTCTCTACAAGGCAAAACAGTCCCAAAATACCATCCTCACCACATACCGCCTCCACGAACCGACAGATGCAACACGTGACCCGGACACCCTCAACACCGCAACCCAACACGTGATCCGGACACCCTCAACACCGCAACGGGTGACCCGGGCATCCTCAACACCACAACACGGTGCCCGGACACCCTAAACACGACAACACGTGAAACGGACACCCTCAACACCGCAACACGATACCCTGACATCCTCAACACCACAACACGGTACAATGACACCCTCAACACCACAACACGTGACCCGGACACCCTTAACACCGCAACACGAGACCCAGACACCCTAAACACCACATCACTGTGCCCGGACACCCTTAACACGACAACACGTGAACCTGACACCCTCAACACCGCAACACGGTACCGGACACTCTTAACACGACAACACGGTACCCGGACACCCTCAACACCACACCACACCACTGTGCCCGGACACCCTCAGTGCAACAGCTCGATACCCGCAAATCCTCAGCCACATATGTCAATCCACAGAATGGATACCCTCAACACATCATACCAATACCCGGACACCCTCAGCCACATATGTCAATCAACCGAATGGATACCCTCAACACAACATACCAGTACCCGGATACCCTCAACGCAATATAAAAGTGTCTGAGACCCTCAATACAATATAATGGTACCCGGATACCCTAAAAACACCATAATGGTACCTGGACACCCTTAACACAATATAACGGTGCCGGATACCCTTAATACAACATAATGGTGATGGATACCATCAACATGTTAGGTAACCTCAACACAACATAATGGTTCCCAGATACCCTCAACACAACATAACGGTACCCAGATACCCTCAACACAGCATAACGGTACAGTCAACGCCATGACACGTATGGATACATGACATAACGGTGTCTGCTTAGCGCCTCTAACACAACATAGTTAGCATACGTGCACACCACCTGTTGCTGCCATTTAGTTGGTATTTGTCTCCCAGGTTCCAGCAGTGGTAATTGCAGCAGTGCATATTCAGAAGTACACACTATTAATGAGGTCAGCTGCTGGCTAGCTGGGCTGCAATAATTGTTACGGTGCCGATATCTACCGTCCCAAGATGTGGGGTAGACAATCTGGCTGCAGACATTTCCAGTGTTTTACTCGACTGTACCGCATAACAACCCACAGACTCTCTAACAAATCCGTTGAAGTAACCTTTCTCATCTTCAGATGATCACTAACATTCGTGCAATATTCTGATAGCGAGGACGTACATACACTTTTCTAGTGTACAATAATTATCAGAACAGGACATGAGCGCCATTATCTGAACGCGGCAACAGCTTGACTTGATAATCAGAGGGAAAAACATATACTTGATCATGAAATGAACTGGCGAGTTTATACTGCCCTGAAAAAAACAATATGTAGCTATGTTGCTATATATATTTCTATATGACAACGTCAAATCTAGCTATGTTGGTTTATATGTCTCTATGTGACAACGTCAAAATCTGGCTATGTTGGTTTATATATTTTTATGTGACAACGTCAAATCTAGCTATGTTGGTATATATATTTTTATGTGACAACGTCAAATCTGGCTATGATGGTTTATATGTCTCTATGTGACAACGTCAAATCTAGCTATCTTGGTTTATATATTTCTATGTGACAAGACCGCCTCCGTGGTGTAGTGGTTAGAGCGTTCGATCCCCGACCGCGCCATACCAAAAGACGTTAAAATATGGTACTTGTTGGTCCCTGCTTGGCGCTCGGCATTAATGGGTACAACAAGGACTGGTCGGATCGGAGTCAGTATAATGTGTCTGAGTAGGATATTCATGCTTCACTGCGGCATGGTATCTCAGTGGGCTAGCACTATAAAACCAGCTTAAGTCTGGGCTAGTACAAGCAGCCGCACATACACATACACACGCATGCACGTCGTCATATGAGCGAATTATTCTCAAGCACGACGTTAAACCCAATTTCACCTCACCTCACCTCTATGTGACAACGTCAAATCTGGCTATGTTGGTTTATATATTTCTATGTGACAACGTCAAATCTGGTTATGTTGGTTTATATATTTCTATGTGACAACGTCAAATCTAGCTATGTTGGTTTATATGTCTCTATGTGACAACGTCAAATCTGGCTTTGTTGGTTTATTTGTCTCTATGTGACAACGTCAAATCTAGCTATGTTGGTTTATATATTTCTATTTCTGACAACGTCAAATCTGGCTATGTTGGTTTATATATTTCTATGTGACAAAGTCAAATCTAGCTATGTTGGTTTATATATTTCTATGTGACAACGTCAAATCTGGCTATGTTGGTTTATATGTCTCTATGTGACAAGGTCAAATCTAGCTATGTTGGTTTATATATTTCTATGTGACAACGTCAAATCTAGCTATGTTGGTTTATATGTCTCTATGTGACAACGTCAAATCTGGCTATGTTGCTTTATATATTTCTATGTGACAACGTCAAATCTAGCTATGTTGGTTTAAATGTCTCTATGTGACAACGTCAAATCTGGCTATGTTGGTTTATATATTTCTATATGACAACGTCAAATCTAGCTATGTTGGTTGATATGTCTCTATATGACAACGTCAAATCTAGCTATGTTGGTTTTTATATTTCTATGTGGCAACGTCAAATCTAGCTATGTTGGTTTTTATGTCTTCATCTGACACCAACCATGTATATGTCGGTTGATATATCTCTACATGACAACATCAGCATCTACGAGAGGCGTCTCAAAAGTAGTCGGCATCACCTAGAAAATTATACAAATGCAGCCGTTCTATTTTTCTACATATTATCTGTCAACCTCAAGCAAATTGCTTCTACCACGTTTCAGCCTCACGATCCCCATATTGTTTGACTCTTTATCTTGGTAGCCCCCCAAAACACAAGATCTGCAATAAATGCATCACAAACTTCAGGAAACAAAATATGCTAGAAACATTTTGTGTGTTTGAGGCTGACGTCCTCCAGAATCAAACGTAGATATTAAAGTGCATAAAAATGCAATTTAATACTAGAATTGGTTGTTAAAGATACTCCCCCCTTCATATTGACTGAAAGAGCTTGTTTTGGAGACACTACCCATCCCCTTTTCAGATGACGAAGTCATAAGGGCATAGCTTATTCTAATGGTTTCACTTATGCATACATAATGCCAAGGGATCAAACTAAATACTGAATGGTCACACAAGTGTCAGCTCTCAATATATTGTAAACAGTGCCAGCTTGAATATCTGGACACAATGTTTTTGAAAGATTTAAAATGGGTGTGTCCTTTAAAAACAGCCCCGTCTAAATATAAATCAAACAATCCAGATCTTCGAATGTTGATTATGACGGGAAGTCATCCAGTACTATACTGAACAGATTTTACATGATATTATCTGAAAGCATACCATTATCCAAGAGGTACAAAATGACAGATCGTTTTCAACTGTCTGCAATTTTTAAAGACATATCATATCCCAATGTGTTGTGATGACTAATATATATTATTAACCACTTTACCCACATATGTGAAATTTTGGATATGGCTTTCCTAATGATTCCTTCAAAACAAAATGGAATCTTTACTAACATTGGTCATCGAGATTATAGTTAGCCCGACTACTTTTGGGACACCCCTCGTATGCTGGTTTATATATCTTGATACAACAATATCAGATTTGCCTTGGCAAGAACACTAATGAGTGATATTAGGTTGTTATGTTGGCTTGTCAATAACAGGAGTCAGTTGATTGTGTTACGTAACTTGCTCTCACAACAACGAGTGGTACTATTGCATTACACGTCTGGCCCTGACAACAAAGAGCTATATCCAGATTTGGTTGTTGACTTGCTAGCCATTTCTACTGAGCTACATTTTCTGACGTGAGAACAAAATCTTGTTCGATTGAATAATATACTATTATCTTACCCAGACAACACTATAAAACTAGTTATTCGCTGTTTTATATCATAAAATTATTCACACATCTAGTTATACAAGTTATACATGTTCACCTAACAAAACCACGAACACAAATAACAAAGCATAATTAAAAAGTTATTGTGATGCGTTCAAGATTTATAACCAAGTATAACTAGATAATGCTGTCTGCTCACCATAGTTAACAGTGTCACTAGTTAGTGCTGTGAGGCAAGATATCTGACACAGTTTGACTAGTTAGTGCTGTGAGGCAAGATATCTGACACAGTCTGACTAGTTAGTGTTGTGAGGCAAGATATCTGACACAGTGTGACTAGTTAGTGTTGTGAGGCAAGATGTCTGACACAGTGTGACTAGTTAGTGTTGTGAGGCAAGATATCTGACACAGTGTGACTAGTTAGAGTTGTAAGATCAATATATTTTACTGAGATAAAAATATAATGCGGTCAACTTTAGTTATGTAACGCATTGTCACTAAATGTGTCTGCGTGATCCATATTGACCTGGCTGCTGCAATGTCCAGTTATATATCGTACCCTAACAACAACTCACTCTTGCTCACTTACGACTCCCGTGGTCTAAAGATGAGGGAGATTCCGCGGGATACCAGGTACGCCTCACCTCCAGACACCAGGCAAACCTCATCTCCAGACGTCAGACACACCTCACCTCCAGACATCGGACACACCTCACCTCCATACGTCAAACACGCCTCACCTCCAGCCTCCAGACACATCTCACATCCAGACACCAGACACACATCACCTCTATACATCAGACACACATCACGCCTCCAGACACGCTTGACACAAGAAACGTCTCACAAACAGACAACCGACACACCTCACCTCCAGACACCAGACACAACCCATCTCCTGACATCAGACACACCTCACCTCCAGACACCAGGCAAACCTCATCTCCAGACATCAGACACACCTCACCTCCAAACATCAGACACACCTCACCTCCATACGTCAAACACGCCTCACCTCCAGCCTCCAGACACATCTCACATCCAGACACCAGACACACATCACCTCTATACATCAGACACACACCACGCCTCCAGACACGCTTGACACCAGACACGTCTCACAAACAGACAACCGACACACCTCACCTCCACACACCAGACACAACTCATCTCCAGACATCAGACATAACTCACCTCCAGACAACAGACACACCTCACCTCCAGACAAAATGCACGCCCCATCTCCATACATCAAACACACCCTAACTCCAGACAACAGACACACCTCACCTCCAGACAGACAGACACAGGCACACCTCACCTACCGACATCAGACACATCTCACCTCCCGACATCACACACACCTCACCTCCAGACATCAGACACACCTCACCTCCAGACATCAGACACACCTCACCTCCAGACATCAGACACACCTCACCCCCAGACATCAGATACACCTCACCTCCACATATCAGACACACCTCACCTCCACACATTAGACACACCTCACCTCCAGACATCAGATACACCTCACCTCCAGACATTAGACACACTTCACCTCCCGACATCAGACACACCTCACCTCCCGACCTCCCGACATCAGATACACCTCACACCTCCACACATCAGACACACCTCACCTCCACACATCAGACACACACCTCACCTCCACACACTAGACACACACCTCACCTCAACACATCAGACTTCCACACACCTCACCTCAACACATCAGACATCAGACACACCTCACCTCCAGACATCACACACACCTCACTCCAGACATCAGACACACCTCACCTCCCGAGACAACATCAGACACACCTCACCTCCAGACATCAGACACACCTCACCTCCAGACACATCAGACACACTTCACCTCCTGACATCAGACACACTCTCACTCTCCGACCATCCACACACCTCCAGACATCAGATACACCTCACCTCCTACACATCAGACACACTCACCTCCAGACATCAGACAAACCTCACCTCCACACACTAGACACACCTCACCTCCACACATCAGACACACCTCACCTCCACACATAAGATACACCTCACCTCCACACATCAGATACACCTCACCTCCAGACATCAGATACACCTCACCTCCAGACATCAGATACACCTCACCTCCAGACATCAGATACACCTCACCTCACACACTAGACACACTTCACCTCCTGACATCAGATACACCTCACCTCCAGACATCAGACACACCTCACCTCCACACATCAGACACACTTCACCTCCCGACATCAGACACACCTCACCTACCGACCTCCCGACATCAGATACACCTCACCACCACACATCAGACACACCTCACCTCCAGACATCAGACACACCTCACCTCCACACACTAGACACACCTCACCTCCAAACATCAGACACACCTCACCTCCACACATAAGATACACCTCACCTCCACACATCAGATACACCTCACCTCCAGACATTAGATACACCTCACCTCCAGACATCAGATACACCTCACCTCACACACTAGACACACCTCACCTCCAGACATCAGATACACCTCACCTCCAGACATCAGATACACCTCACCTCCAGACATCAGACACACCTCACCTCCCGACATCAGACACACCTCACCTCCACACATCAGACACACCTCACCTCCAGACATCAGATACACCTCACCTCCAGACATCAGATACACCTCACCTCCAGACATCAGACACACCTCACCTCCAGACATCAGACACACCTCACCTCCAGACATCAGACACACCTCACCTCCACACATCAGACACACCTCACGTCCACACACTAGACATACCTCACCTCCACACATCAGACACACCTCACCTCCACACATCAGACACACCTCACCTCCAGACATCAGATACACCTCACCTCCAAACATCAGACACACCTCACCCCCAGACATCAGACACACCTCACCTCCCGACCTCCCGACATCAGACACACCTCACCTCCCGACCTCCCGACATCAGACACTCTTCACCTCCCGACATCAGACACACCTCACCTCCCGACCTCCCGACATCAGATACACCTCATCTCCACACATCAGACACACCTCACCTCCACACATCAGACACACCTCACCTCCACACACTAGACACACCTCACCTCCACACATCAGACACACCTCACCTCCACACATCAGATACACCTCACCTCCAGACATCGGATACACCTCACCTCCACACATCAGACACACCTCACCTCCAGACATCAGATACACCTCACCTCCAGACATCAGATACACCTCACCTCCAGACATCAGATACACCTCACCTCACACACTAGACACACCTCACCTCCAGACCTCAGATACACCTCACCTCACACACTAGACACACCTCACCTCCACACATCAGACACACTTCACCTCCAGACATCAGATACATCTCACCTCCAGACATCAGATACACCTCACCTCACACACTAGACACACCTCAATTCCAGACATCAGATACACCTCACCTCCAGACATCAGACACACCTCACCTCCAGACATCAGACACACCTCACCTCCAGACATCAGACACACACCTCACCTCCAGACATCAGATACACTTCACACATCAGATACACCTCACCTCCAGACATCCAGACAGATACACCTCACCTCCACACATCAGATACACCTCACCTCCAGACATCAGACACACCTCACCTCACACACATCAGACACACCTCACCTCCAGACATCAGACACACTTCACCTCACACACTAGACACACCTCACCTCCAGACATCAGATACACCTCACCTCCACACATCAGATACACCTCACCTCCAGACATCAGACACACTTCACCTCACACACTAGACACACCTCACCTCCAGACATCAGACACACTTCACCTCACACACTAGACACACCTCACCTCCAGACATCAGACACACCTCACCTCCAGACATCAGATACACCTCACCTCCAGACATCAGCTTATGGAGGTGTAGCTGATCCATCCTTTTCCAAGAACCAAGACCTGGGGGTTCACTGAACACTTATCCAGGTGGCGGCCGGTGAGGGCTGGGACGATATGCCTTGACTCGATATAAAAGCACAACTTCTGACAATTGGCTACAATAGTGGGTGTTTTTTTCCAGCTTAGATGGCCGGCTGGTTCAGCCGAGTCTGTATCATATCACACACAAGCCGCCTGGTCAATATTATACCATTCGGCCTCAGCTCAACACTCGAATTTCTTTGGCTTTCACTGAGATATATTCGGCTGTTGTAAAATTCAAATATGGCTGGCTACGTGCTGTATTCCATGAATAATTCCAAAGGCATATACGAGAAATTGTTGGGCTTGTCAGATTGTGGTTGAAATCACCCATGTACTCCCTTGGGAGGCAATCACACCCACAGATTCATGTTTGGCAATTAACGCCACAGACGAAATTATAATCCTATTTTGTTCTTATTTGTCGATCGCGTTGGTCTCGCTGTGTGAGGGTAAATACCAGTATGCTATATCAAGAACATATATATTTCTTTTGCATCCCAGTTTAAGAACGTACGACTTTCCTCAGCGGGTGAGAGAGAGAAAAACTTTACAGGTTGCAAACGTTTATGAAGAAAATAGGGAGGGGGCTGGAGCCCTGGGTTCGTGGGGAGCGTTTGGTGCCGGGTTTAGGTTCGGGGAGGGTTGGGTGCCGGGTGTAGGTTCGGGGTGAATGTTGGGTACCAGGTGTAGATACGGGGCAGTTGGGTGCCGGGTGTAGGTTCGCGGGAGCGTTGGGTGCCGGGGATGGGGTAGGGGGTAGGGAGGGTAGAGAGTGGGGGGCGTTGGGTACCAGGTGGGGAATGTTGGGTGCCGGATGTAAATACGGGGAGAATGTTGGGTGCCGGGAGGAGGTTCCGGGGAATGTTCGGTGCGGGGGTGTAGATACGGGGAGTGTTGGTTGCTTGGTGTGGGTTCGGGGAAAGAGAAGCATTTGGTGCTGGGTGTAGGGACGGGGAAGCGTTGTGTGCTGTGTGTAGATTCGGGGAGCTTCGGGTGCCGGCTGTAGGTCGGGGGAGGCTGGGTGGTCTGTGTATGTTCGGGGAGCGTTGGGTGCTGGGTGGTTTTGGGGAGAGTTGGGTGCTGGCGTAGGGTTCGGGGAATGTTGGGTGCTGGGTGTAGATACGGAGGCAATGTTGGTTACTTTGTGTTGGTCTCGGGGGAGATTTGGGTGCTTGGTGTAGGTTCGGGGAGAACGTTTGGTCCCTGGGCGTAGATACGGGGAAATGTTGGGTGCTGGGTGTAGATACTGGGGAGTGCCGGGTGCTGGGTGTAGATACGGGGAGCGTTGGGTGCCGGGTGTAGGTTCGGGAGGAGGCGTTGAGTACCAGGTGTAGTTACGAGGAAACGTTGGGTGCCGGGTGTAGGTCTCGTGGGGAATGTTGGGTGCCGGGTAAATTCGGGGGAATGTTGGGTGCTGGGTGTAGGTTCGGAGGAGTGTTGGGCGCTGGGTGTAGATTCGGTGGGAATGTTGGGTGCCAGGTGTAGGTTGGGGAGGGTTGGGTGCCGGGTGTAGGTCCGGGGGAGAAGTTGCGAGTGCTGGGTGTAGATACTGGGGAATGTTGGGTGCCAGGTCCAGGTGCGGGGAGTGTTGGGTGCTGGGTGTAGATACTGGGGAATGTTGGGTGCCAGGTGTAGGTGCGGAGGAGGTTGGAGCAGGTCCGTGGGGGTGCCAGGTGCAGGTGCGGGGAAGATCACCAGGTGTAAGAGGTCGAGGGAAGTTGGGTGCGGGTGTAGATACGTGGGGAATGTTGGGTGCCTGGGTGTAGATACTGGGGGAATGTTGGGTGCCAGGTGTAGGTGCGGGGTGTTGGGTGCTGGGTGTAGATTCGGTGGGAATGTTGGAGTGCCAGGTGTAGGTGCGGGGAGAGTTGGGTGCCGGGTGTAGGTCTGGGGGAGAGTTGGGTGCTGGGTGTAGATCTGGGGAATGTTGGGTGCCAGATGTAGGTGCGGGGAGTGTTGGGTGCTGGGTGTAGATACTGGGGAATGTTGGGTGCCAGGTGTAGGTGCGGGGAGGTTGCTGGGTGTAGATCCGGTGGAATGTTGGGTGCAGGTGTAGGTGCGGGGAGAGTTGGGTGCTGGGTGTAGGTTCTGGAGGAGTGTTGGGTGCTGTGTAGGTTCGGGGAGTGTTGGGTGCCGGGTGTAGGTGCGGGGAGTGTTGGGTGCTGGGTGTAGATACCGGGGAATGTTGGGTGCCAGGTCTAGGTGCGGGGAGTGTTGGGTGCTGGGTGTAGATACTCGGGGGAATGTTGGGTGCCAGGTGTAGGTGCGGGGGGAGTGTTGGGTGCTGGGTGTAGATTCGGTGGGAATGTTGGGTGCCAGGTGTAGGTGCGGGGGGATTGTTGGGTGCTGGGTGTAGATACTGGGGGAATGTTGCTTACTTTGTGTAGGTTCGGGGGGAGTGTTGTTTGCTTGGTGTAGGTTCGGGGAAGCATTGGTTGCTGGGTGTAGGTTCGGGAGGAGTGCTGGGTTCTTTGTGTAGATTCGGGGGAGCGTTGGGTGCCGGGTGTAGATATGGGGGAATGTTGGGCACCGGGTGTAGATACGGGGAGAGTTGGGTACCGGGTGTAGGTTCGCGGGGCGCGTTGGGTGCAGGGTGTAAATACGGGGGGAATGTTGGTTGGTTGGTGTGGGTTGGGGAGGGTTGTTTGGTGCTGGGTGTAGGGACGGGGAGCTTTGGGTGCCGGCTGTAGGTTCTGGGGGAAGTGTTGGGTGCTGGATGTAGTTTCGGGGAAGTGTTGGGTGCTGGATGTAGGTTCTGGGGGAGCGTTGGGTGCTGGATGTAGGTTCAGGGGAAGTGTTGGGTGCTGGATGTAGGTTCAGGGGAAGTGTTGGGTGCTGGGTGTAGGTTCAGGGGAAGTGTTGGGTGCTGGGTGTAGCTTCGGGGGAAGTGTTGGGTGCTGGGTGTAGGTTCAAGGGAAGTTTTGGGTGTAGGTTAGGTGGGAAGTGTTGGGTGCTGGGTGTAGGTTCGGGGGAAGTGTTGGGTGCTGGGTGTAGGTTCGAGGGAAATGTTGGGTGCTGGATGTAGGTTCGGGGGAAGTTTTGGGTGTAGGTTAGGAGGGAAGTGTTGGGTGCTGGATGTAGGTTCGGGGGAAGTGTTGGGTGTAGGTTCGGGGGAAGTGTTGGGTGTTAGTGCTGCAGGTTAGGGAAGAGTATGTTTTGCTTACAGTAGGGGCTGGTGGGGTGTAAGGAGTTTTAGGATTTTGGTGGGCCAGGGCGTAGGGTAGGGTGACGGGATGCATGGGTTCTTACAGATAGGATAGAAAAGAGCCTGAGTTTAGGGAAGTATCCGGTTTCCTCGTGGGAAAGGGGTTTTCCGAGGTGTGGAAGTGTAGGGGAGTTTATAGTTGCTCGCGAGGAGCTTCATCACAACCTGACCTGGGGTGGGTTCAGCTGACTGACATCTCGGGGTTTCTCTTGAATCAAATTAGATTTACACGAGGAAGATGAGTGGTTAGATCTCGCCCGAGTCGGGGGCTCCACGTAATTCAGTCAGCAGCTCCCAGTTAACAGGACGGTCGAACAACTAACGCTATTTTGTCATTTATCTTGCAGATGGTGGCGATGAGGGTTGTCCCCGCAGGGCCGTTGTGTGACGGGCATGCATGAGAGACAAATGCCACTCCATGTCAACATGCTGTGAGGACTTACCGTCATCGCATGTTCCTCACGATCTCGTGCTGGGTGTTTAGGGTACACAGACGTCGTGCTAATACAAGCACCTGGTACCTGTGCTGATACTTCTCTCTGACAGTCTACAGCTGGTGAGTCCACTCAACAGGCTTGTTAGCACATGGCGAAGTGTGAGTAACTTGCAGTGTGTTCAACAATAGGACCGCTAAGTTGATTTCACACCCGATTCTACCGACTCCAATATTTACTGAAAGAAAGCTGTAAAGGGCCATTAGATCTATAATGCTGTAGAGTGTGTTTACATCAGTGCCTGACTCTGTCGCAGCATTTTCCTGTGTTAATAGCTTCAGCTAAAAGCGTTGCGTCCACACTTTCCACAGACATTTCCCAGGTTTGGAGCAGTGGCCCTAAACGATGACGGACGCTGAGCAGCGGAATCGCGTGGTTCTGCTTGGTGCTGGCGGTGTGGGGAAGAGCTCAATCCTGAAGAGGTTCCTCTTTAATACATATACAGAGGAGTACAAGGAGACGGTAGAGGACCTCTATTGCCGAGAGTACGATCTTCACGGAACTAGCATCAAGGTCGACTTCTTGGATACCGCTGGAAATTTTGCGTTCCCGGCCATGCGCAAGCTATCAATGACAACAGCACATGGGTTTATCCTCGTGTACTCCATTACCAGTCAGGCATCGTTTGACGAGCTCAAGAAGTTATGGGAACAGATCAAAGAAGAACGCGTCAACTTCCAGGAGATCCCGATCGCTATTGTCGGTAACAAGGTCGATATGGAGAACGACAGACAGATCGAGAAATTTGACACGCTGAACTGGATCTATAGTGAGGGGTTTTGTGGGGGGTTTGTCGAAGTTTCTGCAAAAGAAGATGAAAGTATTTCCGATATTTTTAGAATTCTCCTTGATCAGTCACGAGGAGGAGTACACAGGCATTTTGAGCCAATCGCCAACCGCAGAGTGAGCACGAACTCCCTCGACGAGACTGAGACGGAAAAGGCCGAAGAATGGGATAGTGATGCAAAAAAGTTCAACCGTAGTCGAAGTCTCATCCGTCGTGGTAGCAAGCCCCGAATGAAAAGGTCGCCGCGCCACCACGGCAAAAATGACTGTGCTATGTCCTGATGGCGTGGTACAACAGTGTGTTGCCAGGGCTGGATGTGCCCAACTTCAAGTTCGTGGTAAGTTTTTCGCCTGGATACTGGAGTAAATGTCTGACGAACACCGGCCAGCCTTAGCAGCAGAGGGCGTGTGACGTAGAACAATGCTCAACTTTATTCAATGGATGTGTGTTTTGTTAACTGATGTGAGTATGATGTATTGCTCGTTAAGCTCCTAGTTGACTGCACCAAACTGAAGAGACAATGCATTGAAAAGTTATTGTATTGTGACAATACACCACACCTCAGTGGTAACCAGCCCCTTCCCCCGCGGGGTAGCTGTTCAGTATGTGTGCGGCCAGCCCCTCCCCCCGAGGGGTAGCTGTTCAGTATGTGTGTGTGGCGATGGCGGTTGTTACACGTGATGCAAGTATCCAGGATGTGGGAGCTCCTTCATCGGTTCCATGACATGGTCTTGACGCGGTTTATCTGAAACAGGAAAGAGACTTCAAGGAGCATTCCGAGTGAAATTCTAATTGGTGACATGTTTCCTATTACCGTATCCTCCTTTATCTTTGATTACTCTGTTCAGCAGTTTTCTTGTAGTATAGAGTACAATGATGACATACAGCTTTTAGTGCACACATACATAACGTGCAGCCAACTAGCTGAATGTGTTTGTATGACATATATCGCATGAATCAGTACTGTGAAGATATTTACCGTCATGTCCTCCATTCATCTAAGCACCACTAAGTCCTGGTGATGCCACTGGTTCCTGGACTTGCGGTCAGCCTTCACAGCAGCCGGCTCATCAACATGCTGGACTGGTGCTGCTCTGTGTACAAGTGATGTCGCTCACTAGAGGGGATTTCTATGCACACGATGTAGACATCATGTAGTCTGTCATAGGTTATGTAGCATTTGATACGATCTAATGCTTTCATGATACATGGGATTACAAAATATCGATAAAGTAGGCTTTTGCAAAGCTGGTACGGACTTCTCTTTCATAGGGTTCTTTTAAAGGTTTCTCAATCATTTCACAATGATCAATCAATTCTCATTTGGCGCCATGTGTCTGTAGCGTGCTGTGTGTGTCCATGTCCCCGTGTACACACCGGTATATAAACTGCTGGATGTATGCACAGTACACATTACACAATGTAACACACCACTGTCACATGCAACTAGGGGGCAGTTAGCATACACCATCCCGACAGATGTATCTATATCTGTGTTAAGACAATGACAGATGTGTCTAAAGCTGTGTTAGGACAATGATAGATGTTTCTATAGCTGTGTTAGTACAATGATAGATGTGTTTATAGCTGTGTTAGGACAATAAAAGATGTGCCTATATCTGTGTTAGTACAATATGATAGATGTGTCTATAGCTGTGTAAGGACAATGATAGATGTGTCTATAGCTGTGTTAGGACAATGATAGATGTGTCTATAGCTGTGTTAGGACAATGATAGATGTGTCTATAGCTGTGTTAAGACAATGATAGATGTGTCTATAGCTGTATTAGGACAATGATAGATGTGTCTATAGCTGTGTTAGGACAATGACAGATGTGTCTATAGCTGTGTTAGGACAATGATAGATGTGTCTATAGCTGTGTTAGGACAATGATAGATGTGTCTATAGCTGTGTTAGGACAATGACAGATGTGTCTATAGCTGTGTAAGGACAATGACAGATGTGTCTATAGCTGTGTTAGGACAATGATAGATGTGTCTATAGCTGTGTTAGGACAATGATAGATGTGTCTATAGCTGTGTTAGGACAATGATAGATGTGTCTATAGCTGTGTTAGGACAATGACAGATGTGTCTATAGCTGTGTTAGGACAATGACAGATGTGTCTATAGCTGTGTTAGGACAATGATAGATGTGTCTATAGCTGTATTAGGACAATGACATATGTGTCTATAGCTGTGTAAGGACAATGACAGATGTGTCTATAGCTGTGTTAGGACAATGACAGATGTGTCTATAGCTGTGTAAGGACAATGATAGATGTGTCTATAGCTGTGTTAGGACAATGATAGATGTGTCTATAGCTGTGTTGGGACAATGACAGATGTGTCTATAGCTGTGTAAGGACAATGACAGATGTGTCTATAGCTGTGTTAGGACAATGATAGATGTGTCTATAGCTGTGTTAGGACAATGACAGATGTGTCTATAGCTGTGTAAGGACAATGACAGATGTGTCTATAGCTGTGTTAGGACAATGACAGATGTGTCTATAGCTGTGTAAGGATAATGATAGATGTGTCTATAGCTGTGTTAGGACAATGATAGATGTGTCTATAGCTGTGTTGGGACAATGACAGATGTGTCTATAGCTGTGTAAGGACAATGACAGATGTGTCTATAGCTGTGTAAGGACAATGACAGATGTGTCTATAGCTGTGTAAGGACACTGACATATGCGTCTATAGCTGTGTAAGGACAATGACAGATGTGTCTATAGCTGTGTAAGGACAATGACAGATGTGTCTATAGCTGTGTTAGGACAATTACAGATGTGTCTATAGCTGTGTAAGGACAATGATATGCAGTTGTGTTATATGCATTTAGCTCAGTGTCCTTGTCCAACTAGGAACATCAACAAACGCACATTGTTTGACCTATCACCCCTGAGATTGGGGACGTTAGACACAGCTATATGCAATTGCCATATCACTCCTTGTTTACCGTGTCCATGCCTCCTCAGTTGGAAGGCGGAAGTTGTATTACCCTTATTCTAACTAATGCCGACACAACATTTCTACCCACTCACTCACTCATTGTGCTACGTTCCAACTGTATCAACTTCAGCTCCTTTTTATTGACATTTTACTATGTCATTATGCTATTTATTAACAGAGCTTCATTGCCTTTTTGGAAACGTTTGTTTATCGACAGCGTTAGTTGTGAGATTTGTTAGCAGTGTAGTTTTTATCCCATTTGTGGTTCTTAGTCAAATCGATTCCAGGGCACCCGTTTCACCAAGCGGTCATAACGCAAAGCGACTGGCACGGTTGTAGGTTGGAAGTTACAGTCACAACCCTTAAATACTCTGCATTGAGCGTGTGATGCTGGACGGGTCCGGCTGCATAGGGGCTGTATGATGCAGGTGGGAAGTAACAGTCACAAATCTTAAATACTCTGTATTGAGCGTGTGATGCTGGACGGGTCCAGCTACATAGAGGCTGTGTAATGATGGACGTGTTCAAGGGTCCTGATGCTGGACGTGTTCAAGGGTCCATATATTTACATAGAGGCTGTATGATGCTAGACGTGTCCAAGAGTCCATATATTTACATAGATCCTGTATGGTAATGGACGTGTTCATGGGCCGAGATGCATAGAGGCTGTATGATGCTAGACGTGTCCAAGGGCCGAGATGCATAGAGGCTGTATGGTAATGGACGTGTTCATGGGCCCAGATTCATAGAGGCTGTATGGTAATGGACGTGTTCATGGGCCCAGATTCATAGAGGCTGTATATGGTAATGGACGTGTTCATGGGCCCAGATGCATAGAGGCTGTATGGTGATGGACGTGTTCATGGGCCCAGATGCATAGATGCTGTATGGTGATGGACGTGTTCATGGGCCCAGATGCATAGATGCTGTATGTTGATGGACGTGTTCATGGGCCCAGATGCATAGAGGCTGTATGAGTGATGGACGTGTTCATGGGCCCAGATGCATAGATGCTGTATGTTGATGGACGTGTTCATGGGCCCAGATGCATAGAGGCTGTATGGTGATGGACGTGTTCATGGGCCCAGATGCATAGAGGCTGCATGGTGATGGACGTGTTCATGGGTCCAGCTATCTCTGATGCTGTTGTAAAGTTAACATTTGTTTCCTGACGCATCAAATGTAACACTTTCTAATTCGAATGAATACACTGAACAGACCAGCATTTAGAAATGCCCGGCAGACACCGTACGTACGTACGTACGTACGCACGCACGCACGCACGCACGCACGCACGCACGCACACAACAACAACAACAACATCAACCACACACACACACACACACACACACACACACACACACACACGACCCGCGCCCAACCTCCGCTCCTCTAGCATCCTCCCAATGTTGCGGTGTGGTTAGGTTCATTGAGTTAGTCACTGCATTAGTTCTAATGTACAACCCAACGGTGCATTAGCTAATGTACAACCCAATGTTGCGGTGTGGTTAGGTTCAATGAGTTAGTCACTGCATTAGCTCCCTAATGTACAACCCAATGTTGCGGTGTGGTTAGGTTCATTGAGTTAGTCACTGCATTAGCTCCCTAATGTACAACCCACCACTGGAGTTTTGCTAAGTACGGTGTCATAAAACAAACACAACTTTCACGCTCCACGAAGTGCAGTCAGCAGGTGAAAACAAGGCTCTCTGGTGGTAAAATTGATCGTAATTAGGAGGCTATGTAGCTAGATATGTGTCAGGGAAGGCCATATTGACCATTTCTATGTCGGAGTGTAGAGATGCTGCCGTCAGGTTGTAGTATTCAAGTAGTTGGGTGAAATCCGCTGTGGAAACACCATGGCGACGATGTTGTAGTTGCTGTTGAGGAACACGTGAACACGAGTTGGTTACCTGGTCTAGATTTTAAGCCCCGTATTTGTCTTTAAATCTGTAAGATATATTTCCCCACAGTCCGTGTACGTGATCGACGTTCAATGACTGCGGCACTCCTGATTCCGACCGACGCCTTTGTTTAAATATTGATCAGGATGACGGAGGAACTATAGGCAGACAAGGGATAGTTTAAGGATGTTAAAAGGAATATCATGTCACGTGACACATGTCTATCATATGGGTTTCCTTCTTCTAGATCCCCGTCTACGTAAGAGACGTTTCGATCCAAACCCATTCTGCCAATAGAAACATGTCACTCACCTGACACGCTGAATGGATTGATTTTTGCAAGAAGTAAAAATAGATATATTTTTGTACGTTTATTATTTTGTGAATCTGGACTTTCTGTCGGTTACTTTTATGTGTAATACTTTTTTGTGAAAATGTAAAGGTTGTTAGGTCTCTTAGGCTCTTCTATAGCAAGTATCGCCACTGTATCGGGTAGGAGAAGCTCGTGACTGGTCTGTAGGTCGTCATTGTTGTGTCGGGGATGTGCTACGTGCCTGTAGGCCGACACTGCATTGGGTCGGGGATGTGTCACGTGTCTGTAGGTCGTCGTTGTTGGCTTGGGGATGTGTCACGTGTCTGCAGGCCGACACTGTATTGGGTTGGGGATGTGTCACGTGTCTGTAGGTCATCACTGCATTGGGTTGGGAATGTGTCACGTGTCTGTAGCTCGTCACTGTATTGG